ACAGTCAGGGATGAAACACAGACGTTACCCGATGCCCATACCGGCTAGCTTAAATGAGGTTGTATTATTTGGCTTCTTCACTAATATCAAATAAAATCGACTGTTTTATTCCTCTTACCTCTTGTCGCTACACCCTGTCAGCAGCAATGCAACATTTTCCAATACTTTTTAAGTGCTACGTTTTAGTTTGGTAACTTAAAAAGTAATCTTTTTGCTTTTTAAAAAAAAAATAGCTTGGAGAACAAAAAATTTCCTGAGAAAAAATGACTATATAAAATTACTCGATCTTTCAACTGCACCCTTTAAATCTTCAAGACTATTGCAAGTTAGAGCTTTACGATGTGTGAATGATGTGATTGTTTTGGCCACGTTACACTTTTCTTCCTTCAGTGGTCGTGAAATGTCCTCTGAAGCAGTACTGCATTATATCACTGCAGGAAGTGTTGAATCTTTTACCGGATGTTACATCACCACAGTTTGTCGAAGCACACAATGTACAAACAAATGATCAGCTGATGTGTGTTTATATGGGATCGTTGGTACGAACGGTTATTGCCCTGCATAATCTCATCGATAATAAAGTAGGCGTATATGCTGCAATCTTCTTTTTTGTATTTTTGTGAATTTTTCACTCCTTTTTCTTCATACTAGATTTAAAAAAAAAAAAAAAAACACATTTTTTTTGCAGCTTTCACTGCAAAAAAGTGAAAAGGAAAAGGAGAAAAGTGAGGGCAAAAAAGAGGAGAAAAAGGAGGAAAAAAGGGAAAGTAAAGAAACGAAAGAAAGCAAAGACGATGGAGAAAGAAGTAAAGAGAAAAGCACGAAAAAATGATAATTTTTTCACACTATGAAACATTTTTGTCACCGTTTTTGTACTTATTTCTCGTAACATCAGACCAACAAAGCACAGATAATGTGATTTATGCTATTGCTATCTCTGGATTTATTTTGTTTAAAAAATGCTTGGCGTTCACAACGGTGAAGTTGTTTTTTATTACTAAATCTATGAATTTATACGCTGGAACTTTGTACTAAACAGAGCTGTGCAACATTTCTTGTTGTAACATGCACTGCTAGCACAACTGAGGTTAAAGACCACGTTGATGGGTAGTTCTTTGTAAAGAAATTATTCCAACTCCAGAAAACACCAGAATCCTTAACCAACAGCCAGCACTGAAAAGAGCGGGCATGAGTGGGTGCGAATGTAGGTTATGGATTTTGCCGCTTCTCAGTCTTCGCATTGGTGGCATATATTATTCCATGGCTGGAAGGAGGGAATTGGTCCACGAATCTCAGGGTGTTGTAGGGATCCATCTAAAGGCTGAGCAGAGCTGTGCCAGTTCTCAGTAAGGTATTGTTTGATT